CGGTGCGATCTGCCCCGCTGTGCCGGCGGCTGCAGGGCCAGACAGGAGGTGGTTTAACAACACACGAGTGTACAGAGGTGTCAGGGAGGGGCTGTGAAGTTGATAAGAAACCTCTTGGGGCTTCTCTTGTGCATGGTGTTCTTCTTCCTTCCAGCCCGGTGGAGGGAAGGGTGGAAAACCTCCCCGGGCTTGTAAAGCCTGTCTTAGCCAGAGAGCCTGGAAGGGGTTAATGCTGCTGCTCCTGCACCCAGAGCTGTTTCTAAGGTTGGGACATCTCAGCTGGGGACACCTTGTTGGCTGCCACCTGTCACCACAGTGATCGAGGTTGGGCTGGGTGAAGGCAGCTCCCTTTGCAGGAGGAAATAAGGCGGCTGGGTCTGGATTTCAGCTCTCTCTTACCCAGACCTGCCCGGCTGCCGCTGGGCACAGGGCTGAGCCGTGCCCCGCCGCCCGCGGGGCGACCTGGGTGGCTCTGGGCGCTGCCTCCCTCTCCCATCCCTGCCCCAGCTGGGTGATGCAGCTCCAGTGGGAGCAGCGCCGGTGCTCACCGTTCCCCTCCCTGCGAGCGAGCGTGAGCTCTGCGGGGATTTTTCCAGCATAAATCCATCGGTCGGCAGCGAGTCCCGGCTCCTGCCGTAAAACAGATCGGGGGGGTCATGCTGCAGGGACGTGGGCGTGCACGGTGCTGGTCGGGATTGCTGTTCCCCCTGCCCCTCTGGTCAGAGCTGACCCAATTCCCCTGGGAGGAGCAGAGTTTTGATTGCTAATTAACCTGGGTTGGATGCTAATTAGCCGGGGTTGGTGGTGGGTGTTGGTAGCTAGCGGGAAGTTTGCAGGAGTGGTGGCCCTGGGGAGGAAAACTGCTGGAGAGTTGTGCTCTAGTTTGGCTGCCCCAGCGTGTTCACTGGACTCGAGTTCATTGTCCTGTTGCTTGAACCTCAGTTAAAAATCATGGATGAGGCACCGTGTTTAGCGCAGACAGGCCTTGGGGTGAAGGCTGAGCTCGCGGGGATGTTCCCTGTGCTGTGCGAGGGCTCCGATCCCTGCAGCCGCAGGCTCTCCTGGATCCCATCCCGGCTGGGATGCAGAGCCTGTGTCCCTCTGCCTGCGCCCGCTGAGCTCCAGCGGAAAAAGCTTCCCTGACGGCATTCGCTTTGCTCTGCATCGCCTCCCCGCTGCCTGCTCATCCCAGCCTTTCCTTGCCCTGCAATATTTTTAGCTGCCAGCCCCGTACACGTTGGGCACGGTTGCTCTGCTTTGGGGAAAGCTGTTCTCTTCGCTCCCCGGTCCCCGCGGCGCGGACCCTCGCCGCAGGAGGT